TCAGAGGCTCTTGATTTCTCTCTAAATATCTTAGCTTGTTTTTCAAGCTTCATGGCAGGTCCCCGTTTCATACCATCCTTCATAAACTTTTTTTCGGACATGTCTGGAAAGATCTGACCATCTATTTTCTCTTTACGAAGGATCTTAAAATCGTCCTCATTGAGATTTATGTTCAGGTCACGTAAGAAATTAATGAGGGTCTCAGTATCCCAGTTTTCGGCCAACGTAAAGCGGTTTGAAAAAGTTGCAGAAGTAGACATGTTTTATTAAGCTTATTAGAAGTAGAAAAGCCAAAAATAAGAAATACATATAACGAACTTACCCTCTATGATTTATGACCTTTTTATAAATAAGAAGAGACACGCTAGAGTTTGTTATTTAGCAAGAGATGTGTATACCGATGTTTTGTAACAATGCAGGTATCACAAAAACTGGCATATTGCTATTTTAGTATGATTAGCATTACCGCTATTACGTTACTCAGAGGTTAATCTAGAATAGGCAGATCGTAATATTTTACCCCTTTCTGCATAAACCTGCAGGTGGTACATTTTTACTAGAATTTATACTTTAGCGTCTTAACGACTGTCGTACATGCCTATATGCATTGGCCATGAGGCACTTCACATGGCTAGACAATATATTATTTTATTAAGGTAATATTTAGGATATGAGTCAAGAACTGATCTGGAAAATTCGGCGTACAAACTCACAATTATCATCCAAATCTGAGAAATTTACGGTAATATCCTTCCCCCCGTAAATAGGATATATGTATTTTAATGGCGAATTGCATATAAGTTTTAACATTTCTGATGATTTACTCTTATATGCCTCGTATTCTGAAATTTTGATGAAGAATACAATATTATATTTTTTATGAATACTATAATATTCAGGATTCCATGACCATTTTAACATGTCAAGCCAATATGAACCTCTAACAATTATATAGCCTTGCTGATGTAATAATAATTTCTTAACAAGTATGTATGTCACAAAATCTAATCGTTTCCATAATTGGGCTCTCTTCTCAAACATCCAATCATTTCTTACTGGATAACAATCTCCATCATGCCCATAACAAATATATCCTGGTTGTGTCGATGCATTGTTTATACCTAGATATTTCTATCTGTCAGGAGTACCATCATTCCTCACCACCTCCCAAATCCGTTTTGCCAAAGATTCGGGTCTCTTCTTGTAATTCCTGTAAGCTCGCTGGATAACTGTTGCATAGAAATTTTCAAAGCCGTAATTATAGTATTTAGGAATCAAGAATTCCCAAGATCGCTTCATTAATCTTCCTGAAATACTTTACTAAAATAGTTATATATTAGAGGATCTAACCCAGAATAGGCAGATCATGCATAGCGTACTTTTATCCTGCATAAATTATGCAGGTGATACATTTCACAATTATACTAGGCGATCATGTATGCAGAATTCATTTCGCAAAAAAAAAATAAGTTATACATCACACCTTTGGCTAAATATAGTTGAGATAAATAATGTTATTATTCAGTTGAGAGATATTAACTTTATCTCCTATTTGCATTATTTTGAACAGAATTAAAATATTCCTCAGCATCAATCAAGACATGGCTTCTCTCAAATCTATAGGCCGAAATTTCAGGTGCACTTGCACTACGTCGCATAGGGTATCTCTCAAGACCGCCCATTAATGCAACAGGCTTTGGTGGCAAAGGAGGAGGGGTCAATGAACATGACTTATCTATCCTATAGGAATAGTATCTCTGGTATTGGACAGGAGAAGAGGTTAAGAAGGTATTATCCATACAGATATTTTTTTGCTGGTTATGAAGATAGTAAGGCTTGTTATGCGTAGTATTTACATTACTTTGCATCTTATGCTTTTGCCTGATACGTTGAATCCTATTTGATACATTTTCCAGCCACATCTCATATCGACGGATTGCCTTCTTTGTGAAATAGCAAGGTGGTGGATTATTTTTCAGCTTCATGTAGTCTTCAAAGCTCATATCACAATATTCGTTTCAGGTACAATTTGTACGCCAATGCTTATCCATAAAGAATGCATGGAAATACTCCTAATTTGGAATAGACGAGTTGATTGCAAGAATAGCATATTCCTATATTTACTCCGAACCAAACATTACACTGATATAATAAATATGTTTGTTTTCTTGCAATAAGATATCTCTTATTATAATCAGTTAAAAGATGATTTTTTCTATATACCATTAATGTGCCCCAAATTCGATCTTTCCAATCTGATGGAGTCTCATTCCCACGCATTCTAGGAAGATCATAGTTAATATGTGAATCAGCTACACTTAAATGTATATAGGGATCAGAATATACCATATTTAATGATTTTAGCTATTAAGAGATTTATAGAGTTTACACTGCGATTTTTATCAATTTATAGCTGATTTAGCAAGATTATACTATATTAAATCCAAATTCATTTTTATTCGATTATAAGCATGTCGGGGACTATATAGAGCCACATATCGGGCTAAGCTAATTTTATATTTACATGAATATGCACAGCATCTTCGGCTAAATCAGTTTGTGGCATGATGTACTGTATATCGTATCGCATGTGATCTCCACCAGTTCCCTGTGCGAAGCGCCTACGGCCCAGTTCCTCGATAGTTCTGGGGAGCTGGCGAGTTTCTATAAATCACGAGATGATCGGCTAATTATATTCCAGGAAAATTAGATGACACAGGTGTAGTAATCTGGCGCAGTACAAAGGAATTTTGGACATGCGTGTCCGCTAATTATAGTACCAATATTATAACACATATGGAAAAAATAAATGGTCGAACAGGCTAAACTTTATTAATAAGAACACTTTTTTTAGATATTGCCGGACGTGCAAAGAAAAATTTCAGCAATCGCCATACTTTATCAAGAAAGCAAAAGCAACATTATGTTTGTACATAAAGAATCTCATTTTACATAGGTATTATAAGCTTAAAACGCTACTTCTTTTACTCAATATTATATTATGTAATTTTACTAAACTGTTACTGTATTAAGATACCTAAAGCTATTCTTGCAGTCGAAATAGGCTTTCTGCATATGACATTCTCGAGGGCCTCTTCTCAACTCTTGCTTCATTAAAGGAAGTCACACTAGCCTGAATCAACAACTAAATTCATAAACAATGCGTAAGATTAGTGTTATTTAATGTCCATAATCAAATACTCTTCATCAACACTTACTGCCCATTTCAGCACACATTCGTAAAAATAAACGAAATCCGGCATTTCAGAAAATTCCCGAGGTAAGTTTGCGTTGTCGACTTCATTTAATCGATACTTACCTAAATTGATATTGGCAATGAATTAACAGTGCTTCCTCATAGTTTAAGTCTTTTGATGAAAAGAAACACATACCACAATAATCAAGGTAATATAGATAAATTCGAAGGCGAAAGCTTTGGCCACCAAATATGTTCAGCTTTTCTGGCAAACGCCTTCGGGTTTTAATTAGTTCTTTTACTATTTTAGAAAACAAACTTTTCATGTTATTGATGATTTTTTTAATGTCAGCGACCTCCTTTTCTTGCTTCACGTTTGGTCTGGATCCTTCCACATAAACGAGTTGAAATTTGTCGGCATTAGTCATATAACCAACACCATCTGCGCGGTTTTTATTAACGTGATTCCTGGACGGGATTTCTCCATATTCGTAGTGTATATTTGCTAGATTCCACAGAGCGCTATCGAGACATGGGTGCACAAACGCATTAAGGTGTGCTTGTTCGATCGTTGCGATGTTTAAGAGAGGGTTTTGATGTCCGAGAGAGAACGCCTTAATACTATTCGAGAGAAAAAATGGTTAGGACATAATCTGAAAAAGTGAATCAATATAACTACATACAATTGTGGTAATGTCCGACGTAAAATTCGGACTACTGCAACCATTAGAGGGTCTTTCTCTTCTGGAGATCGTAGGTCGTCAACCTTGCCTTGCCACTCTGTATCCGAAATAGTTTGTGAAAAAAACTGCACCAGGAAATTGTGCACATTATCGGGAATTAATTGTTCGGTTATCGTGTCCATTTCTGAGAGGTATGAACTTGATATCGATCTTGGAATATTTCTGAGGAAGGATGAACATGAACGGAGGTCAATTAAGTCTCCATCGGGATAATGTTCCATATATGCCGAACAAAGTTTTTTCGATGCCTCCGAACATTCAATATCGTTTCCCAAGAAGTCTGTTATTACCTGTACGATGAAAAAGGGCTATAAATACATTTTCGTTTAGAATGTATTGTTACATAATTACTTACTTCGGCATTTTGAATAACTTCTTCCTCATCGTTCTCATCAAAGCTTTCTTGAACATTCAGCACATTATTCAGCCTATAAGAACATTCCGCTTGATGAGAATTTTCAATGCTAGTTTTACGTGATTTTTGCTTTTCTCTCTCGGGATATTCATCGCTTTGACGTTTCTATAAAATGGAAAATGTATGTTATTACTTACTTTACAAATATTGGACATTAACAATACTTGACACATCCTTCAACACTCCTTACCGCATTTTTATTGTGTTTAACATTTTTCTTGCCACTGATACTCGAAGCTACCATCTGTCCGGCCAATTCATCTTCCTGACAGGTAGCGGAAGTGCTCATCACTCTCAACGTACTTAATTGTATATCAATGTTTGTGTTATGCTATTTAACAACATATGACATTATTAGATGAATCCATTAATTGAAACATGTCCACTTTTATTATACACCTGCTGATTCTGTAGTGCTCTTTTCTTCTCAAACTGATTCCAGAGTTCGGTAGCTTTTAAACCCTTCTAAAGAATATAAATAAAAAATGAATACTTTATCGTTTATTGTAATGTTATAAGGATCATTGGAGCCCTGCTATGCATTGCACCGAGGACGTCACCTAACTCCGGAAGTTAACAGGGCGTCACCTGCTCCCGTGTGGTACAACTTGTATAGTAGAAGCACTCTTGTACATTGCACCGAGGACGTCACCTACTCCAGGAGTTAACAGGGCGTCACCTGCTCCCCGTGTGGTACAATTATACAGACTAGCGATAATATTTTGCTGGCAACGATCCCTACCATTTGATTTTGCTTTTATAAGGTCTTCAAGTTTTACTGACCTGATTAAGAAGATCTGACGCAAATGTGCATTTCTCACCTACTTGATCTCTTTCGATTTCTCTCAAATGTTCGTTAAATCGTTTCTTCCATGTCGATTTCAATGAACTCAGTTTGAAGTGGTTGTTGAAGTATGGTTGCATTTTTTCGAGATACCCGGGATACGTCCATTCACTCGCGGGAGTTGACTCGAAGTATTGATTTGCTGTAAAAATATAATAATAAGAACACGTCAAGTCAAAACGAAAAATTAGATGATTGACATACCAGCATGCTTGTATGATAAATCTAATGTCTGAGATTTCTTTTGGCTTTGAAAACGCGTTGAGTTGAAGTTGTTATACGTGACGAAACGTGTTAAATGTATCAGGTTCTATGTTCTTATACTATGTATATCATTGTACTACTCCGAATTCTTGTTCATAAAGGTTACACGGTTACACTGTGTTGCAACGTCCACTTGACACTTGACAGAAAGATCTTCGTTTATTGCGCCACAATACTGCGTTGATCAATCTCACATGACTGGCTTATACTATGATTGCAAATTGCTTGAAGTGAAGCAAGACAATATTCTGTTCCATTCGCCATGTAATCCATAATTCCCATGTTTTCTATCACAAATAGGGCATGATGAGCTCCATGGCTGAGGTGATGCAAGATCCATAACACCATTCTTTTCTCAAAGCGCCGAAACAATTAATTTTTTTATTAATTATATTGAACCGGACGAGCAAGAGTTATTTTTTTTTAAATAACAAAAAAGAACATTTATTATTACTTTGCTGTTTGTAGAATACGAAAGTAAATGCAATAATAAATATCACTTGTAAAGCACAAAGCATGTTTTTAAAAATTCGAAATAAAAGATCAATCATTATTATGTTTTTGTAAAACAATATATGATGGGAAAGTGCCAGCTGGCTAAATCAATTTGAGGCATAACGTATATCATATCACATGTATCACCCTAGATCCCTGCCAGTTCCTCGATAGTTCTAGGAAGGTTCCAGGAGCTGGTAAGTTTCTATAAATCACGAGATGATCGACCAATCAGATTTCACTGCTCTTAATCTATTGACATGATAGCTAAGCCACCGTTATTATTTGATTATTGATCAATTAATTTGCCTCGCAATGATCTAACACATCACTCGATATTATTTTATAAAACAGAGAGAACCTTCTCACCATGTAAAAAGAAATCACTATGGAGTTCTCTGACGCCCATAAAATAGCGAATAGTTTAGTAAATTTTATATTTTCATAGCTTGTTAAAGCACACATGTTTAAAAATTAAAAGTAAAATCTTTATTTATCATTATGTAATATGACCGATCCGTTAAGCAAAAAAAATGAATAAAAAAAAAGTAAAATAATAGATCAAAAGACCGGAGGAATGTAATATTGAAATAAATGATGCTATCAAAGAGGGAGGGAGTACGCGGATCCTAGGCCATTTAATGCGAGTCCCAGCATCAAGTTATTTCTTTGCTCTCTCACGTTTACAAAAAATATCTATAACTAATTTGTTTCTGTTGCTAACATTTCTAATTACAAGATTCTCATCCCTATACTCTTTTTCTACACTAGATTTTCGAAATAAATTATCCCACCCATGTCTACAGGATTTTTGTCTATCTATATCTCTTCCAAAAACACAGATTATGTAAAATAATATTTCCTGTAATAAAACTTCTCGGAGATTAAGTAATTTCGAATCTATGGATAAATTCGGGAGATTAGCAACTGAGGTAAAAAAAATATTTCCGATTAATACTTACTATTATTATTAATTTTCGCAACATTACATTCCGCCTGAAATTTATTACTTAATGCATTACAATAAAGGTAATTCGATTTTTTTATTGTCAGTATGATACTGCGCCAAAGTTTATTAAGGAGCGTGATGTTAAGGCATGTGACGAGATTTATGTGAGTAATTTCACTGTGCCTATTGTATGCGTGATGATTGTCAAAAATTTTCTCGGCGAAGATCAAAATGCCGATATATAGTAAGAAAAGTAATATATCCGTTTTATTTTGGGACATCTATAGAGGAGGAAAAATAGATTAACATCGTGATGACATGTTTCAAGAAGCTAACTGAGCAATAAAACCAACCTACCTTATTATAACTTTGCGGAATATGCGAGTTCATTTTGATTGTTGATTTCGATGATGTTAACAATAGTAAGTTTTATTTTCGTTTGATTTTTGCTTTAGTTGCACAAGACAGATAAAAGAGTTCACTAACCAGGACATCACCTTTTTATATGATTCGCAGGATCGATTTTGGAATACGCTT